AAGTCCATGGTGTTGTAGAGGCCAGTCACAGAGTGCACAGTGATCACCTGGAGCAGTAGGCCGTGGGTGTCCTGGAATATGAGACCACCTCCCATCCCATCCTCATGTCAATACTAGAAGTTTGATGTCACCCTGAAGCAAAAGTTGTTCAATTTTTTTTTCTGCATAACATAGTTTTTTTCTGGAGTTTTTGGATGTTTTCTGGAGTTTTTTGGATGTTTTCTGGAGTTTTTGGATGTAGGTGACTTCAGTAGAGTCACAAACACGAGATATAATTGCACTATGGGGCAAGATACAGTTTGCAATTGCACTTCGGGCACCATACCTGGCCAGAACGCTGGGTTGTATACATTGTCCGAACTGCAATTCAAAACTGTATCTTGGCCCATAGTGCAATTATAACTCATTTTTGTGACTCCCGTGTAGTTTCCCCCCCTTTCTTTTTTTTTTTTTTGCCTGGGACCTTCCTTGGTCCTTGCACGGCAGGCCACCCGGGAAAACAAGGTGACCTGGGTGGCCCGGCTGGTAGCCTAGGGTTAAAGCACCAGTACATGGGCACCTGGGGCGCGGGCCTGACACCTCAAATTCTGGAGGCACGAAACGAAACCGCGACCGCCGATCTAATATATCAACGGTGGGCGCGACATTTGACGTTCCGGCCTTGTTTTCTTGTGGCGACAAGTTTCGGACTGCAAGGCCGGGGCCGTGTACTGGTGGTTTAAGATTAACAATCCGAAGAAAAATTAACCTCAAAAAGAGGTTAACTGCTATGTGGACCAAAAACCATTGTACATCAACCTTCTTTTGGGACATCGGTTGAAGTATTTAATGATACAGAGAAGTTGAGAGAACTCTTTTTTTTTTTTTTTTTTTTTTTTTTTTTTTTCCTTTATAGAGGAGATGATTATGGATCCTGCTATAGGATGGCAGGCATAAAATTTAATTCACAAAAGGTCCAAAAACAATTGCAGATCAACCAGAGCCATTGCTGAAAAAGGAAAGTTGGGAAACAGATCAGGAAATTCGTCCCCAGGTCTGAGCTGCACATCAGGAGGCAAATCCATCCCATTCAAAAAGGACAGCTGATGATCTTTTCTGTACGTGGACGCGACCCTCTCACCCCCCTAGATCAACCAGAGCCATCCTATGCCTCCCCTATTTCCACCTCCCGGCCGATCTGATTGGGAATTATTGAATTGTATGTTGCATATCTTGTTTCTGTTGCAGAGTTATCAATTTAGATCTGATATTTGCCAGGTGGGCCCTTGTCTCTGTTTCATATAAATTTCTTGATTTTTTTTTTTTTTTTTTTTTTTT